GTTAAGCTTGTATGCTGTTTTGGGATTTAAGCATTCCCTGTAGAACACCAATTTTGCCAGGGGTAGGAGGTGCTACAAAGCTTCATGGTCTCCCAGCCTATTGCAGCTGCACCCAGRGCAAGCAGCAGCTCTGCATGTACTTTCTTCACTGGAGTTTGCCAGCACTGCAGTGTGCACAATCCTCAGGACTGTTAAGACATTGGAAAGTCAGTGAAAATTCAGGATGTAGAGAGGAAAGTAAATTTGATCTTATAATATACACACAGATTCTGTTTACAAATACACCTGGAAGAATAAAACACYAAGAGGTACCTGCAAGTTGTAGGTATTATAAAGCAATTCTGAGTCTGCAAATGGGCATGTGTAAGCTTAACCTTAATACACTCACTGTTTTCAGAAGAAAGAACTGAAATGCCAACAAATGTTAGAGAAAAATGGTTTTCCAAATCGCCTTCAGGGTCAAAACCAATGAAAGCAACGACACACTTATGCCACCCACCTAGTCAAGCAGTCTGGGAAAGGTAATTTGCACCTCCTTTATCTTCCATGCCACCAAAGTCAGACTCAGTGAATCACCATGTGGCTTTGAGGAGCGCATCCTGGTTTGGGAAGAGGTGCACATTCCTTTTATCCAGACATATCTGGAGCAACTCCTATATGTATGCATGTACATAGACACACATACACACATATTTACTTAAATAGCCACTAGTTCAACTGGGGTACTAGGGTTTACTAGTACTATATCTTCATACTATAAACCAGTTAAGGTTAAATATATATATGTGTGTATTTATCCTTTTTTAATATCTATTATCAATGCCTATAGCATTCTTTCCTACTTCTAGTTGCCAAGACCCTCTACTAAATGCTGTATGGTTCCTCACTTCCTCCAGGTCTAATAACTCCAGCACATACACGGTTAGGTTTGTTTGCTGTGCCAGCTTATTTCACTTTACCTGACCTCTGCCAAATCAAACACCATTTTTATTCACACAAAGTTAAAATAGTGACACCAATGTAAGAYGTAGAAAAACAGTTTTTACTCAGTTCTTGCATTTTACATAAGGCTTATATTTTCAGAGTTTTGTTTGTTAAGCAGTTACTCTAACACCACTCTTTCAAAATAAAACTCTTACAACCCATTTTGAAATAGAACTGCCAAATTATCAAAGCAATTTCTATTCTGGTTCAAGGGAAATATTTCTGAAATATTGTTTACGAAAGAACTCTGAAAACTTCGCTTCCACAAGAATGCTCCATAACTTTGAGGGAAGGAGGTTTGGCAAACTTAACTCACATTTTGCACACACTTCACTGATTATTCAGCACAGGCAGTGCRTGTGTTTATGTATATATATGTATGTATATATAAAACGAGAAACAAAACAAAAACAATGCAAAACACTACTGCTATGACTAGCACTACTTCAGCAGACCACAGCAATTGCTAGGAAGACAAGAAGGTGTATAAGCTCAGTTAGACATATCACTACAAAGATCTGAAACTGAGAAAGATTTCTGGAGAGAGCCAGCAAATCCTCTGTGTTTAGACCTTTCAAAACCACACTAATGAATTAAAAATTCCTTCCAAAATCRCAGCAAATTTGCCCACATAGAATTGCTTGAGTCATGCTCAGGAGGCTACCATCAAAATACCTCATTACCATCACATGCATAATTTTTGGTTTTAATATAGTTCACAATATGCATATATGACCTGTTGCATACAGAAAATACCAGCTTTGTGCTAATAGGTCCTCAGTGCACTACATTAATTCATCACTACAAATAAATCGTCTCTTCTTTCCTTTCCTGTATGGAATGCATCCAAGCACCTGGAGACCTCTGCTCCTGCCTGCTCCCCAAGTGTTGTCGGTTCAGCATCGACTTTAAGGAATCATACACAAAACTATCTTTTTATTATGTCCAGTTTCTCATGAGTGTCTATTGCAGTATGACAGTCTTGTCCTAGAGGCAAAACGATGGCCAATCGGGTCTTGTAATTTTCATCATTTCAGGAACTAGATCATTGTAAAAGCCTAGTTCTCACATAGTCTAATCTTTTAAATAGCTGCCAGAGGCATTAATATTTCTCTTGGGCCRTTAAATACTTGGAACACAACCGAACATATGGCCATTAGTAACAAGTGATGACCAGATATGCCTAAGGACATGAAAGTCCCCGTACTCTCTTCCAGAAAACACTCTACTGTATGTTAAGTACTACACCTATTCCAGTACTGTAGGGCTTCCTCCCACCTTTCTCTGTTCTTTACATATGTATCCTTCTAACTTCCAACAAGTGATTGCTGGAGGTAAATTGAACTCAAACCCACATTTTGCTCAGAAAGCTTACTATACTTCACAAGTTCCTAGTATTAAAATAGGATCTCAGTAGTACTGCATATACTCCTTTTAATAATGTTTATGTTTTAGGAAAAAATGAAGGTATTGAAAAAGATTCTACATCTACATTCAGTTCTACATCTCTAAACAAAATATAATATCTGAGCTTAAAGCACATGAGGATTCTCATTTAATGCTGGATACAACATTCCCAAAAGCAGGTGTTCTTAGTGACACAGGTCCCTGTGGCGGCCCACTTACCTTCCCTTGCCTAAGGTAGCTTAAGCACCCCTAAACAAGGAGGTTACTGACCACACAAAGCAACAAGTCTTGCTCCATCTTTTAATCCTTTGCAATTTTCCTAGTAATTTTTCCTAATATTCCCAGGAACAACCCTGAGACAATATTTTTAATGGAAAATATCTTCATGGCACCTTAAATGATAAGTACATTAATAATTGCATTATAGTTTTTGTTTATATAAATATTTAAATCTGAAATCCTAAATCCTGTAATAAGTTAGAAATATATGGTCCTGAAAATTAGATGTAATGTAAATATGCTATCAACTGTTAATCATAACAGTTTGCTACTAATTACTGTATTGAAATAAGAACTCAGCTCCCTCTTTTTTTTTAAGGAGCTACTCACTTACCTAGAAATARGATCTCAGCCAATTCTTCTACTATCTTTGAGCAAACCTCACTGAAATCTTTATCTTCATTTTTGCTGGGATTTCTCTCAACCTCATGCAGGAAGGAAATGATTAKTTTGCTGTCTGAACTGTACAAAGGGGGCATGATAAAAACTACTAAAGTTGATCATTCCACGCTCCACCTTCTCTGAGCACTGACTGCAGGAATGTGGTTCTGTAAGTAGAAAAGTAATCTCTATTCTTAACAGGATAATTTTTGTTATGCTACCTGATATGATATTTGATCAGATTATTCTGTTCCTCCTTAGAAATRAGTCTTAAAAACATTCTCAATCAGCTGTTAAATTGCTCCTTAGTTCCAAGATTCAAGTATCTCTAGTATCTTAAAAATAAACATATATTTTCCCCTTCCTCTTAAAATTTCCATTTTTTTTAATATTAGGACAGATTGTATACAAGCTCAGACAACTTACCAAGTAGCAAGAAAACTAATATTACATAAGCTCCTATATAGAAACACACACATGCACRCCAGAGAATCAAAAGACAGCAGTCCCAAGCTGCCAGTTCAAATTCCCTGATGCACTTCTGGTATGTGAAAAGGTTACAATTCATAGCCGCTTGGCTGTAATAGAAATAGCTTTGCCTAGTGTAGCCACTGAAGTGAATGAAAGACTCTGTGTATGCATGGGGAACATAAATGCGATATTAATTATTAATTTTGACAAGGCAGAATACCTTAATAATGTATTATTTTAAACTGCATGCATTTTAAAAAACATTGAGGCTAAAACAAGCCGACTTTGTGGCTTGGACTCTCATTCCTCAGCATATACCAAAATGCACTGTGACAACAAAATGGGTTGTGACAGACTTTGGCGAGTGCGGTCTTGTTTTGTATGTTTAATAAAGGGTTGATAAATACAATGTTTAAAGTGTAAGGTTTGGAATAAATCAGCCAGAAAACATTATGTGTTAGCTAGCCTGTCAAGACACACAAAAGCCCGTTAATATTCGCACAAAACTTTCAGTGAAATATTAGTACTATTGGTCTGCTGGTTTCTTCAGCTGCCTTGGTATCCAATTCCCWGCTATATTTTTAGTACCAGAATACAGGTGCACATAACAATGCTTCTCTAACAATACAATAATATTTCTACAGCAAAATGTACTGTATGCTACAGTTAGAGATCAGAGCTATGTTGATTTCTACCTCATATTTAAAAGAAACTTCCTGGACATTTTTTGATGAGAATTCAGAAGCAGTCAGGAAAGCTACACTTTTGATATCACATGCAAAACCAGTAACATGTACTGCTTAYAAAACACCACAAACCACTAAAGCATCTCCTACAAAGAAATCCCAGAGCATTTTACAAATGTTCATGAGAAAACCCCACAGCACTCCCACAAGTCAGGTGAAACCACACAGATTTGAGGAAATGAGCATTCATCAACTTAGATACAGAAGAATTCTCCAATGCTTCACAGCCCAACTCATTACACTTCCTTAAGAGAACAGCTGTCCATCAAAACTGCTCATCTGAACCAGGAGATTGAAAGTCAAGAATTAAATAGAGCACCASAGTATTAACATTTTAAAAGTGAATGAGTAATTTTTCCTGTCATCCTATATAACTAAGGAGAGCATTAGAAATTTGATTAAACACACTGACTTCTTTTTGCAATATTGCCACAGATAAACTAGGAAGAAGCTTTAAACCTGATGATTGTCATTATTTCCTGTTATCATTTATCTCGAATTTGATAGTAGAGAGTTTTCTTTACCGAAGTTAACAGTTTATGTCTCTAAGTTTCATTGGTGAATAGCAAAGCTTTAAGAATGGTGTACAAGCAATTTTGAACTCACCATTATTGCTTTAAAYCTGGGGTTTTTTTTGAAGCCACTTGATTCTTGAAGGCTTGATTCCTGATTTTAAACAACTGACATTGACACTTCTATAACCGAAAGAAAATACAATTGAGTAACACTCACCCAGTCTCTGTTCAGAAATTCAATACCAGAAACACAGGGATGTTTTCTTGAACTTGATATCTGCCAGAAATAGAGAAATACAGGGTTTGAGGAAGCTGGAAGGAAACCAAATTCTCTTCCTTCTTATTCTAACTCCACACAAAGAAGCAGACAAAAAAACTCAAGATGGCCAAAGACCTAATGAGGTCTGCTTTCCTGTGAGTTTTATATTTTCCTGTGTCTCTAATCTATACCTCTGTTTCAATAGAACATTACTTTCCAGCAGGTTCCCTAAAGGCAACACAGGAACCTCAGCTCCCTCCCATAATCTGACTAGAGCAAAAAGATAGCGCACCCGAGTCTGAGCCAAATATACACTATATACACACACTCATTGCCTAATCAGAAATTAGGTAACCAAATAGATGATCCTTAGGCACATCAGTGCCCTTGGTGTGGAGAAGGTCTCCCAACCTCTTCTAATCTATTTTCACAGAAGTTAAAGGTTACCAGTATTTCTGAGATCTCCATGCTACTGCCAAGTCTTATTGAGAACAGGTAACAGCTTCTGAAAGCATATTGGACCTATTATGTGCTGGGAGGACTGAATGACAATATCATCATGCAAGTCTTATTTCTCAGAAAACACGCTGAAAAAACAGAAGTGTCCTTAATTATCCTACTTCTCCATGAACTCCTGGACRTGGTATTCCTCTCCCTATCAGGATATGTGGCACTAAAAAGGCAATCTACTACTCTCCAAAAGAGGAGTTTAGTGCAAGGGTTACTTCAAGGATCCAAGTATGTGGGCAGCAGTTCTGCAGTTGCCTGACTCTGTACAGAACTTCTCTACCAGGAGTTCCATCTGAGCACAACAAGCTACTACTAAATTCTTACACCTTAGTCGTATGACTCTCTGAAGTAGTTTAGGAACCACCTTATCTTCCATCTAATCATGTTTAAGTATCGTCATTTGAATCATTCTACACATATTGGTGATTTCAAGGGGAGCTGAATATACAAATGCACCTAAGAGCAGAGATAAGACAGATGCAAAGTTCAATCTCTATAGGACAGTGTGGGTAMAGTCAGTAATTTTCATGCCAACAGACAGGGATTGTGGAAGAAACTCAAACTTTTGGTAAATCAGGTTAAATAACACCCTCACAGACATGGTCCCCCATGCTTTCCCTTAATTGCCTTCACWCTTCTTTTTCTTAATGCCCTTAATGCCCTTAAAGTTTCAATGGCAATGCGAAAATTCATTAAGGACACAAAAGCTCTTTTCTTCTGCAAGAAGAAGGGACTTGAAGCTAAGGAGAAGTCCAAATACCTTCTGGACATCTTTTCTGTCCCAGTAACGGGACTGAGAACAACAAAATRATTTTTGCTATATCCAGGTCCCTATCAAAACTACATATGCTACACAAGTCACAGCCAGCAGTTYATCCCACGAGCCCATTTCTCAGAACCACTTACATATTTTCCCCTCCATCTAATCTCCAACACAACCTTCCAGTCCCAGATTAATTTACATAAAGAGAGAAGAAATTCAAATTATATCTAAATTTTGGTCCTTTGGTCAAAGTTTAATCTAGATTATTCAAGAGAAGATGATTTTAAACATGTAAAAGCCATTTCCTATGTCTGTAATAGCAAACGATGCATAATGCAGACTTGAACTGAACATTACCTTTCTTTTTGGGTAGCAGCCAGAGGATGGGGTGGGCTAATATGAACSTCAGACATGGAACACACTTGCGGTTGAACACAAACTTACCATGAAAGCAGTTAGAGTTGTCTCTTGTCTTCGCAGTGCCACTCAGATGAAAGTCACCTGTACATTTCTAAAGTAGCTCTCTTCCTTTTTCTCAGTCTGGCAGGTCATCAGGAGCCACAGCAAAGTTAAATCATAGCCCAAGCAGTAAAGAGAACAAACTTTTCTCTCCTCCTGTTAGTATCAGGAAGCAAGACGAGGTAAGGTTCTCTGATAGGTTCCTGCAATTTGGAGGCTTCTTTAATATTGCTTTTAAGGTGCATGGAACAACCCCTGTGCAACAACACTCAATTTGTGAACAATCATGCGTTCTTAGCTCATGCAAAACCATGGATTTTACCATCARCCTCATTCTTCCCCTGTTTCATTGTAGAATTTTTCCTCTTAATAATGGAAAGATTTCAGAATTAGAATGACATTTTGATAAGTCTATACAATTTAGACACAGAAACACATTTACATAATTATCCTTAATGAATTAATTAGATCATCTAGGAAAACAATAAGACAGCAAAGACACCTTGACTACTAGAAGCGCCTCAGCGGCAGAGTTTGACACTGTTTAGTGTTTRCTACTTAAAGTAGTAGCTCTGGGGGGTAGACAAGTACCACTTTAAAACAAGCTACATCCAAAATTCCACATTACAATTCAGTCTGCACTGGTGACAAGCCATGATTCTAACAAACTTATCTAAGTTACATTCACACATAATTACCATTCCCCAAACTATGGCAACACTACTTTTTTTTTTCTGCTACATAAAAAACTAAGGACATTTTTCTTCAAAAAAAAAAAGAAAAAACAGAAAACAAAGAAAATGAAGACCACTGTATTTGTCAGGAGTCGAAGTCAACAAGTATCAACCTAGATATCACTAAAGACAAGATGAAGAAAAAAGCAAACAAAAAATTACCTGATGTATCAGAAGGTCATCACAATATTTATGGCCCATCAATCCCATTTAAGCTTACTGTATTTAGGTAGCAGACAGGTCCATCATTTTTAAATGAGGCAAATTATTCAGCATTCTCTCCAGTTCTGCAAATAGTCTGTTTCAAGAGAAAAATGTCGCCTTCTCTCAGTCTATTTCCCAGAAGCTGTAGTCAGATATGTAGATAATATATCAGCTAACCTGTGTGCACGTGTACCTCATTTTCTGTACCTACTTTATATTCTTGCAGAATAAATATGGAAGGAAATTAAAACAAACAATTGAGACTCAAGGTGTTAAAGGTCATGCAAATACCATTAAAAAATAAATTTATCTTTAAGTTCTTACAATAAATATTAAGTCAAATTGTCTGAAAACAATCAGAACTGTATTCAATTAGGCACAGCTACCAGAATCTACATACAGTTTTCATTAAACCTAGAGTCACTCTTGTTCCCCAAATGCTGTTTAATAGAGCTTTTATCCTAACTACTATTTGTGCAATTAATCTTGATCACTTTCTGCAATCCACTGATAGTCTGAATTCTGTAGAATCCATTCTTAAAACTTATTCAGCAAAGCCCTTAAGCATATGCATAATTCTTAGGCCAGCTAAAGCCCCAGTGYTTTGCAACATGCTTTTAAAATGGGATTTTTGCCAAAGTAAAGACTGAGATTTAACAGGAACAAAGCAACCTAAAATTTAAGCAAATGCCTAAAAATAGCTGTTTCTTTTGTGAGGAATAATATTATTGGCTTCTTCCTTTGCATTCAATTAATCAAAAGAATCCTTTTAAGCAAGGATTAAATTGCAGTTACTACCAAGAAACCTTAGTAACATAGCCATTTCAATGGATTTTTTGATTGAATAAACTTTTGCCTCTAAGTAATTTTTATACCCAATTAGGAGCACAATAATCTATTTCCCAGTCACATCTGAAAGAAGCATTGATACATGTGTTCACCTTTCTCTGTATCATATAGTATTTGTATGTCTTTAATTGTACTCCAAATGCTTAGGGAAAATATTCACTCCATAAAGTAAATACAATGCAAAAAAAAGGTTTTTCTTATATCTTTGATTAGATTACTAAAAAGAAAATGTAAATCATAAAAGTCAATGGTAGACATTTAACACCTCACGTATTAGACTGAGTTATATCCCCTTCAAAAGATAAATTTACCCCAACTTGTTCAGAGTTCTCAAAAACATTATGTATTTTCTCAAGCCGCAGGAAAAAAAAAGGTGTTATTACTATACAGTGTATCTATACATACAAAGACCCAAAGCGCAGTCTGTACCAATTTGTGTCTGCCCCTTTACCCACTTTGCTAATCAGTTGGAATGTCACATATTTGACATGTGTCTTGGTAGATCACCCAGCCAATTGCAAGATGTCTCTAGCTATCACCAGCTTCTTCCCTATTAKTTCATATTTGCTTCAATGAGAATGGAAAAATGGATGCTTCTATATTTACAGAGAAATGCCTTCAAAGAGGTTAAACTCATTCATTTGCTTTGGATGACTGCTCAACCAGGTATCTTCATCTCAGTTTTTAATCTCCCAACCTCCTGGACCTTAGCTCACTCAGGATGATTTGCTTTTCCTGAATTCCTCTCAAATAAAGCAGTTGGCCTGTGGGCTGCAGATGGTTCAGCAATGGCAGATCTCYCCCACACAGTTATTTTGTTTTACATTTGTCAGCTAGGCGGCCCAAAATTCTTGTCCTTTGTAAGGCAACGTTCTTGCTCATTCTTCAAGGAAGAGTTTACTAATCCTCCTCAGACCCCTCTTCCTTAATAGAAAAGGCTGCAGCTTCTGTAAAAAGCTAGATTAAACAGTGAATTTTGCAAAGTAACACAGAGCAGACAGATAATCTAGGGTAGTTTCATATCCTTAGACTGAGAATAATCCATATACAAAACTCAAGTTGGTAAGTGCTAAGTAATGACTAGACAATAAAGAAACCACCATCTCAGCTCAGACAGTTTAGAAGAGTCACTAATAGTCCTTAGAAATAAGTTCTACAATGACAGTCTCGAGAAGGAATAGATTTCCAATGCTACTCTGCTACTTCTACAAAATAATTCTCCTTTATTTCAAATGGACAGATGCACTTTCTAAAACAGTCCTTACAAGTGTCAATTCAGTTGGAAGGTTAGAGGCTATGGATAAAGTGGACAATGAAAAAAAAATGTAGTTACAGGTCAGAGATGAAGTACAGAGATGAGCAGCCCAGGGGGAAGTTCAAACTAGCATGGCCGTGATGTTCCTATTCCATAGCCAAGCAGACAACCTCCGCCTTTAAGGCTGAAAAAACAGTATTTTTCATAAGCACTGGATTCAATTAAAAAATAATAACTATTAAAAAAACAGGCTACATTTAAATGCCGACTAGTTGCATCACTAGAACTAAAAGCTTGCTGTACGTTTAATTGCCAGAATTTTAAAATAAACTAAGTAAACTTGCTTATAATAGCAGGAAGAAATGAGATATTTCCAAATGCTGAGACTCAGCCAAATGCATCCCAGAGTCCTGTGTTGCCACGATCTAGCCAAGTCATTTGAACAGAGACTGAAGCTGGTTTCCACATTGCTTTGTTTATATTGACTGCATTTATGATGCCTCAGAAGTTGCCAGTAAAATATTTATTTAGCAGTTAAAACGTTCTGCAAATGATTTTGCTGTCCCAAAAGATAAATATTTCTCAGCATGCTGAAATGATACATTGATGTTTTTGTTAAGGAAATTGCATGTTGATAAAATTCTCAGATTACACTTTGTCGYTCCTTTGTATTTGAAGTGGTCACATTAATTTTTTTGTGATATTTATTATAATTGTAAATTGCACTGAGATTAGAAACATTAAACTTACCATAAAATGAAACACATTTCAAGTATTTCCGAGTCATCTGTCTAAGGACTTGAGGACATTTTTGATCCTTCAGGTGGATCTGAGTGCTCTAAGAATCCAGAACAAAAAAAGAGCACAAATCAAATTCCCCCTTGAAACTCTGTAGGAGCTATTCTTTTTTAATCCCACACTCCCTTTTTAATATGCTAATATCCAGCATCCCTTTGGGTGTCCTTACATTGAAAAATCTGAATGTGAAGTTCAAAAGGAATTAAAAATGTAAGCAACACACTGAAGAAAGGCAGTCCTCACTCCCCTATCCTCACTCCTGCCTTCCTTCTCTTTCAACCTCCAAGCAACACTCAGGTCAGCAGTTTTGGTTACGCTCACCAGCCTGAGGCAACAATATTATCTTTCTAGACAAGGACAGAAAACCACAAATAAACAAAGGATCTCAGTGCTTGAGATCCAAGTTTCCATTAAACATTTTGGTTTTTRTGCCTGTCTCCAGGAACACAGGATATTAGGAGAACTTCCTCTGTGCTTCCACCTACCAGGCAGCTGGGAAGAGGTCTCCAGCAATCACTGCAGCAATCCAAGGCAACCTGCTATGCTGAAACACAATCTCAGTGCCACAACAACTATCCCAAGTCCAGCATCTGCCTGTGTTCTGTGAAAGCCGTGGAACAAACTCTTTTCATGAAAGGTTTTCATGAGTACATTGAGGATGGATTGAGGAAAAAGCCCTTTTTCTATCACTTTCTATACTGAAGTTACTTGGCCCTTTTCCCTGTTCTAGCCTGCAAGTCAGGTTATGAAAAACTCTCCCTGCAGTTTTAATATACATGGCACCTAATTCCGGCTACACCCTAAGTTACTGCGTAGTTCATGAATCCATGAGCAAAACATAGCTGTTTCTCCACCTGGAGGTAACCCCCAACTGAAATCTTCAGAGGCAATACAGGAACTATTTTGCATTTAGCATGTGCATAAATCTAATAAGCCTCATTTTCAGTTTTTGGCCACTTATGTATGAGCCATTAATAAAAACAGACAGACATAAAGAGCAATAGAAAAACAGATGTCTTTTCTCTTTCTAATATGAAGCTCTGACTTCTCCAAATATCTCCTGATGTAGTGTGGTTTACCAAAGACAGGAGGTACATTTGCTCAGACAGAGCCTCGACTATCACAGAAATAGTCTCCAAACGGCTTCATATCTGGCAAATAAAGCTCTACCAAGAGAATAAGACATGTCAGATGATGTATAAATATGCAAGAATATATATTTAAGGTGTAATTCTGAAAATCGCACATTTCACAAAAATGTTCTTAGCAAATATAAACAAGCATGCACATGTTGCACCCTTACTTTGCCTCAGAAAAGAGGCAACTACATTACTTTTACCTTGATGTGAACTCTCCTGATAAATACTGTTTAAGATAATTCAGGAATTAAATTAGTTTTCAGTGTATTCAGTTGCTGTTGTTATGTTACTCCTGCTGCTTCAGAAATATYATTGCATGTGTATATGTAGGCAGAGGTAACTAATAGAAGTGTGCATAACACTGTACAAACAAGGAAAGGTAAAACTGTCCTTATACATTATTTATTATTCCAAATAATTTTGTTCTGTCTTCATACATTCAAAATAAATTGGATTTGTTTTGTATCAGAGCTAAAATTTGTATGTTAAGACTTTGTGAGTAAAATCTCATGACAAAACTGAAAGTAACTCCAAGAATGCAGCACACTACCTGATACAAAGTTATGCTATACAGCCTTACAGGTGATCTTTTTTATTATTATTACCTGTAAGTAATCAGATTTAATAAATAATAGAATAGGAAACTATTTTCTGTACTTTGTAAGTCTAAATGTTTTAGTTAAAGTTTTGCTTTCAGAACTGTTTCAGAATTTCCTTATTTACTGTCTTCTACAAATGTTCGTGTCTTATTTTTTAATTTTCAGACTTCTACGTTTGATGAAGTCTATGGTAACCAATTAAGGGAGAAGTCCAAAGGGACAGGAAGACTCTTTACTGCGTAAGCCCTATGTGTTAAAAATTTGAAATATAAGCTGTCTTTGCATCACTAAATTGCACTACTGAAGCAAACCAATAAGCAACACCTTTAATCAAGTTATCATATTAAATATCAGTATCAATCGAAGACATGTCACTTGGTGTATACTTAATATCTAAGCCCCAGTCATCCCCAGGAAAGACAGAAATCTTTCTGACTTACTAAGTCATCTTAAACTTATTACTGTTAAAAGCAATAATTTACACTTACTATTTGGGGTTTTTTCAACCACACATCTCACACTTCATAAGAGAAAGGAAATAAGCATTAATCACATCCATAGTCTATTTAGATGTAAACATTTGAATGAACTTGTAAGCAAGTCACTGCCACACTGAACAGCCTTTCAGCAGATGAAAACTCTATTCATAGCTCTAACACAATCTTCCTAAAGTCTGATCTTCAGTTACCTTTTTGCAGAAAAATCAACCTGGACATATTCCCTGGGTGCATGGGAGATAACTTACGCAGAACACAGGATGCTGCCAGCTTCTGGGCATTGTTTACCGCTCAAAGCAGTCAACACTAAGCAGCCAACATAAACATTCTACTTTTCAGAAACCTTCCTTCCCATCCTCACCAATATTTTAACTAGTCATTTTAATTAGGTTTAAAATAAAAGCATCTTTCCAGCATTAACAGAGGGAGTTGGCCAAACTTGGCTATGCAAGAAATGTTAATGGTTTTTTATTTCCTCCTTTTCTTCCTCTTGTTTTTTTTTTTTTAGTACTACTCGACCTTACAGAATGTGTGACTTCATGAGGAATCTAGAGAAACAAATAAACTGATACAAGTTCTCCTTGTAACTGTTTTCAGTACAATTTAAAAAAAAAAAAAAAAAATCAGTGCAAGCTTTTCAACAATTGATCTTGACATCAGTGAATTTCAACTTTTACAACCTACAGGGAAAGCAAAAATAAATAAACAAGGCTGCAACTATAACATATGAATAACTTCACCTTCCTCTCTAAGACACAGGTACAGCACCCAACCAGCACATGAAATAGGCTTACAGGATAAAATTTTCCTTTAGGCCTCTTCCACAGGGAATAAAGTAAAAGCTCCTCTACTAATCAGCAAGCTGCTTTCTAAAGTACTTTCCAAATCAGAGCCAGCCAATAGAGGGCAACCTGATTACAGAGTAAACGAGCACAGATGATTCTGAAACAATGACTGGGTTTCACTCCAAAGACACTGACACARGATATTTCAGATACCAGGGAGAAAAACTTACAGCCAGAACTCTAAAATAATGCTGTATATACATATATTTATATATGCGCACAGACAATATGCACATACAGGCYCAAACTCTCAACATTTATTACTTTAAGAATCACACCATGTTCTTACATGGTCATTGATGCCCTTTAATTAGGAGACTATCACATCATAGGCCAAAGACTGCAGTGAAGCTCAGTGCTACTTAACTGGTATGGCTGAAATGCAGGGAAGGCAGGAAAAGACCGAGGGGAAATATGTCAGAGATCCRTTACAGGAGCAAAAAAGAAAAAAGTTGTATGAAGAAAAGAGGCTGTTWTCTTCCTTAAGACATAAGACCTAAGTATATCAAATAAAATTATCAAGTGGCCAGTTAAAAAGCAAACAAGAAGAAGCAGTTGTTCACATATTACATAGATATGAGAACTCACTGYCAGAGTGAGTGACTAAAGGCTACCATTCACACCCAACTTTGCCTCAGGAAATCCTTGAGCCCCTAAAGACCACAAGACAGAAGAGCATCATTGTTTGCTTACCTTTTATATTTTCTCCAGGCAGCTGCTCCTGCCTGCCAGCACCAGCAGGCACTGGGTTAGGCATAGTCCCTAACAGAAAGTAGAGGCAACTGAGTAAAACAGGCAAGATTCCACCAGAACCAAATTAAAAACTTGGAAGTACTTTTTCTTCACATTGCCAAGTAAAACCAAGCAGCACTGCACCTATGTCTATGTCATTTTAAAGCAATCATTATTTCTAACTCTGTACACACTACTTGAGTTTCTTTATAAAACTAGTCCCTTGTAATATCCAGAATTAAACCTACAGTTCTTTGTGGGGAAGAGAAACTCCCTCCTTCACCTGGGTCTCCCAGGGACAGCAGCTCTGTCTAGAGATTCTTTGACACTGGAAGTTAYACTTTGCTCTGAAGCTTCCATGCGTGCAGTGGAGCGGAACGTATATTGGACAGAATTTGCAGGACACTCAAGGACATATTTACCATGAACACTCTAGGAAAAATATCATCAGGGAAAACGCACCTGGAAAATGTGAGATCTGTAAATGCAAAGTCAAAGAAATGAATTCTTGCAAAGTGCATACACTCAAGCCTAAGAAAACAGTATTTTTTTATTATTATTACTTTTCCTTGATTTTAAAAGGGCAGAAAACATAAATAAGGGGCAAAAATCTCTGCCCAATTTTGGGTAGCTCCAATTATGAACTCTCCGGTAATAAAGTTGGTACTTTCTTATCCAACCCAAAGATAACTATTCCAAATTCAGGCTGGGATGACAGCTTTGCTGGAGCTCATCCCATCTGATAGAAGATAACTAATAAAGGGCAACTGCACAGAGGGTAACTGCACAGAACTGAAAACATTAGTTACAAATAAATACTTTTTCTCCCCAACTTTTGTGATCCCCACCACCCAACTTTTTTTCTGATTCAACCATATCACAATGTGATCACAAAAAGTCTGTTGCTTATATAGATCCTTTTGTTAAAAATTTCAAAAATAGTGGGAGATAAAAAAATACAAGGAGAAACACAACAGGATGGCAGTAGACATGTAAMATTTTTGCTACACTCAGAAGAATGAATAATAGTCTATGACTGGATCATCTAAAATATAAATATCTCCTAATATTACACAGGATTGCTTTAGTAATGAGCAGTTAGACAAGAGTTCTACTTAAAAAGGCATGGTGGGGGAAAGCTTCTGGGCAGCATTTCTGTGTGCAGAATGGTTTCCGTGTGCCTGTTGAACAAGATCATTAGGTGACACGGTTTTATAAACTGGA